TAAAGGTACAGGGTGGAGACCTATCAGGAGGTTGTAATAAAAGGTCAGGAAAGAAAAAATGTGGCTCAGAAGAAAGGTGGCAGTGGAGTGTCTGAACTAGTTTCCTCCTCTGTAACCGGGAGGGTTGTGAGAATTATATGAACTGATTCGTACAGTGTGCTGCCCCATAGGAAGCACTTAGTTGTCAGCTGTTACTGATGTGGCTGACTTAGTGAGTTGTGCAGTTAGTATTTGGCCCAGGTCCTCCTGAATCCAAAGACTTTGCTTCACCGCAGTGAAATAATGAGGTTCGATTGCTCAAGGGGTAATTGCCTCCTTCCATTTCCTTATGTCATGGATTCCTCTCCTTTCTGAACAGAGCCCAGGGTCAGGTGGGAAGGGAGGGGTCAGCTGCTAGAGTCCTGACATGATTCTCTTTCTCCCTAGATCACTGAGACCCAGAGACTAGGCCTGGCCACACCCCTGTCACTCAACACCACTTTCCTGAGGAAGTCCCTGCAGGCTGCCCTGAGACATCTGGCCCCCTGACCTTCCACCAAGGGACCACTCTCTTAGAGCTCCCTCACTAGCTTCCTGAAGATGCTTCTGCCCTCACCCTGACCCCTTGCTTGGGGGTAAAGGCCAAGCCTAGCCATCCCAGGCATCAACTGCCTCCCTGTTCCAGGCTGTGGAGAGGCCACCTTGACCCCCCAGCCAGCAGGGAGAGTACCAGGCTAACTGGGCTGCATGAGCTGGATTTCCAAGGGCTGCTGACCTGCCTCCCTCCTTGTCACTTCTACCTCAGCCTGCAGCAACAAACTTCCCATAAGCCCCAGTAGGGTCAGAGTAGACCCAGAAGAGATGAATGATGCTCTGGAGGACCTGTGTGCTCAGCACAAATCTCTTGTGCTCCAGTTTTTGTTATGATCCTCTGTATTGTTCTGACTTGAATAATAATTTATCAATGGTATTTAATAAAAAGTGGAAAGTTCAATCATGTGTTATTAGAAGCAGTGCCTGCCTTCTTATTAGTTTTGGATATTTGTTGAAAATTAACTCACCACCACACACTGCCACCACTCCACCCTGCTCAGTGACAAGGGGCATCTTTTTCCCAGTGAAAGGTTCTGTGAGAGGAAGGTGGCAGGTTCTGAAGTTCGTTCATTCATGGTCTGGGCCAGATCCTGTGCGATACCCCCCACCCTAACCCTATTAGCTGTAGGTTGAGTAGGTGAGGCAGCGGCCACTGGTGGAGGGGGGCTTGAAGGTGGGAGTGACAGTCCGGATTGGGGAAGGCCTTGGGGCAGAAGACATTTGAGTAGGGATAGAGGGTTCCTGGGGTTCCTGTGGGCCTGTTGAAAAGGAAAGGGCAGAAAGGGTGTGCAGTATTGTGCGCACGTCTGCTTTACATCTTCATATTCCCATAGCACCTAGCTGGGCGCCTCCTTCCTGGTAATCACTGCACAGGTAGGTGCTATTGGGAGGCGGCTGTCGGGTGCAAGCTCATTCGGGCGCCTTTCCAGCTCTTCCCGGCTGCAGGCTTTGAGGGGCCAGTACGCAACTTTCCTGACATGTCCCTTCTCACAGCCCCCTCGGAAGCCGCGAGCCCCCGTAAGAGCACGAGGAGGACCGGGAGAGATCAGGACGGAAGCCTGCTTCTGAGGCGGGTGCGGGAGGGCAGGAGGGAGTGGGCAGGGCGAGCCTGGAGCCAGGCAGGAGCTGCACTCTCAGCGGCCACGGCAATGCTTTGCCCAGTGCGTGTGATTTCTGAAGCTCAAGCCCTGGACCTGGCCCCGTCCTTACCGGCCTGGCAGCTCCTGGCGCAAAAGGGATTGCCTTGGGGTGCCGCGGGGCGTCCGGGACTGCAGCCTCCCCGGGGGTCCCGGCGTTGAGACAGCGGCTCCACACGCGGCAGCGCCCTCCAGCGGCCGCAGGCGGAGGCGCTCCCGGGGATCGCCGGACGGACGGCGCTCTGGAGGGAAGCCACAAGGCTTCTCTCGCGAGAACAAGCTCCCTATTTGTGCGCGTGCGCGAACTGAGTGAGTCTTTTTTCCGGTTTTTGCGGCGCGAGGAACTATGAGGTGAGTGACATTTGGGGTGCTATCCGTACTCATCCGCAGCTCTGGACGCCCCCGAGGGGAAGAAGACCCTACGGACGGAATCGGGGGTCCTTGCCTTTGCTTCACTGCGGGACATTTCTTGCCGGTCGTCCGCCTGCGGGCCCCGCGTTCATGCGCCAAGGTGGCCGCCAGTAGCCCTCTCTCCCGGGGCCTGCATCTGGTTCTTGGACCCAAATCTCCCGACCCGGTGTCCAGACTCCCCCAGTCGCTAAGCCTGAGGCTTCGAACGACGCCGAGGGTCCTGAGCGCTGGTCTTGCTTCTCTCTCGCAGCAGCAAAGTCTCCCGCGACACCCTGTACGAGGCGGTGCGGGAGGTCCTGCACGGGAACCAGCGCAAGCGCCGCAAGTAAGCGCGGGCCCC